GTCCCCCACCGCATCCCAAAAGTCCCGCCAGCCAACCTGCTCCAGTGTGGGCATTTACTCCTCCACGGGCTACAGGTTCCAGCAGTGACCTGCTCTGATGCAGGCGTCCCACGGGCTACAGCCCCCTTCAGGCATCCACCCACACGGCGTGGGGTCCTCTGCCCCACGGTGGACACCTACACCTGCCCATGGGCTGCAGGGGGACAACCTGCTTCACCATGGGCTTCACCACGACCCAGGGGACCCTCTGCTCTGGCGCCTGGAGCTCATCCTCCCCCCCTCCTTCTTCTCTGACCTTGGTGTCTTCACAGATTCTCACTCCTCCGTCTCTGTGGCAGCTGTTGTGGCGCAGGTCTTTTTCCCTGTTTCTTCAATATGTTTTCACAGAGGCGTTCCTCTCCTATCACTTCACTGATAGGCTCAGCCTTGGCCAGCAGCGGGTCTATCAAACTTGGGAAGCTTCTGGCAGCTTCTTGCAGAAGCCACCCCTACAGGACTCCCTCACCAAAATCCGGCCAGGCAAACCCAATACAATACTTTTATTAAGGATTTGTAGATTTGCTTTCAAAGTTTTTGCTATATAGGTTGTTCCTGTTTTCTTTTCATGGTAAGTATATTAGAATTTAGAACTCTGTAACTTAATGTCATAAAATTTATTTCGGTACTTAGGTACAAATTCTGTACTGTAGTCTAACAAATGAATGTGGGAAAAAATTATTTCCACTTCAAGCAGGAGATGAAATTGTATTTTGTTTTATGTCTTATTCACTTCAAAATGAAAACCATGTGTTTAAGAATAATACTTATGCCAAAAAAAGCGTTATGTGAGAATTTTTTTATTTAAAATTTGGGAGGACCTTCCTTCGAACAAGCAGTCTTATGCTATCTTTTTTTTGTGGTTTTTTTTTTTTAATTGACTTAGATTAGAATTACCACAGTACTTGATGCTTTCCAACCTGTGGAGTTCGATAATAAGTTTTTTAATTACATCTTTTTTCTCAAAGGAAATATATCTTGAAAGTATTTCAGGGGCAAATCTTGTTATTATAAGTGTTGAGTGGTTATTTTTTGTATGTCTGTGTGTGATTTGCAACTGGATGCTGAAGTTTATCTTCCTTAACATGCTGATCTACTCTTCAATCACTGCCCTTTTTTACTGCCTCAAGGTGAAGATGTACAAAAGGTTTTAGATGAGTGGAAAGAGTACAAAATGGGAGTGCCAACCTATGGTGCAATTATTCTTGATGAGACACTTGAAAATGTAAGTACAGAAACAGTTGTGATGGGTTAGAGGGATGGATGGCATATGCTGGCAGAAGTAATATTTTTGCTCTTTACAGGTCTCTTCGGGAGGGGTAAAAAAGTGCTTCACATTCACAAAGACTTGGCAGTTACTTGACACTGTTGAGCGTGTGCAGAAATATAGTGTGGGAGACAGTAAACACACTTCTGCTTGCTTTCCTACTCAGTGGGTTGGTTTCTTAGTGTGTGTTTCTTTTTTTTAAAATTACTTGGAGTTGCACAATCCCGTAAAATATTCAGCAGTTCTTGTAGAACATAGAAAATCTGGTGGATTCCTTCCTTCAGGCTAAAGTATCTTTTTGGAGAAGCAGGGAGCAGTGAAGGGAAGATGTATACTAAAAATTGGTTAGAATAGTAGGTGTTTGACAGTTGCATTTCCTTGTATTTTGCAGGTTCTTTTGGTTCAGGGCTATTTAGCAAAGTCTGGCTGGGGATTTCCAAAAGGGAAAGTAAATAAGGAAGAGGCTCCTCATGACTGTGCTGCTAGAGAGGTAAGTTATATTTGATTCCTTTAAATGTAAGCTAGAGTAATGAAATTTTTCTGAGAACACAATATTTGTGTTAGATGAAAAGACATTGTACTTAAATAACTCTTTATGGAAATCAGGTAAATAAATAATCTGTTCTGCAGGAGTCTCCTTCTGCAGCTTTTTGTGCTGTTCTGAGTTCCAGAGTGATAACCAAGGGGGTAGTTATGTAACTTAGAATCACTGTTTGTTGTTTCTAATTGTTTTGCATTAACTTGCTAAATTAAACGAATGTTACTTTTAAAGTTCCTTGCCAAACTGTCAAATTACTTTTAAGTATTATTCTTGGGAAATCTTATGTACTTTGTGGTTTTTGGAATATTAATTTCAAGGGCCTAGATAACTGTAAAAAGGTAGAAGAATGGGAATTTAGCTTGCATAGAGTGGGTTATGTGAAATGGCTAAAGAGTTGAGTTGGAGGTTGTAGATTATGTAAAAATTGTGAAGTACTTTTCCATTTTGCAGTGATGCAGGAACAGGGATCAATGTATATGTCAAGTAAAATTTGAAAAATAAAATAATCTGAGGGGTTTATTGCAGCTAGGTACCTAGTTATATAATGAATCTGCATGTTAAAAATAACCTGTAACAGAATATTGCTGGTAAAAACTCAGTGTTCCTGTAACATAATATGTCTGTATATTTTGTGAGGGAAAGTTAAGATGAGGGAAAGTAGTAAGATGCATTAGTTTTCTTCATGGTTAGACTGAATTAGCATCTGAGAAATCATGGATTTTTATTTTTTTTAAAAAACACTTGTCAAAAATGCATGAATTAATAGTTCCATATTTCTGATTCCACAGTTAGTGCTTTCTATACCATTCATATATTTAATATGGACTTGGAAAGCAAAATAAGGTGTTAGATCTAAACATTGCGCTATTATGCAATGGACACATTAAATACAATTTCATGTTAGCAGTTACTGATCTCTGAGTATAGAATATTATTTACATAGTATCGAGTGACTTACCAAAGAGTGAAACACCTGAGCTACAGATGCTGCGGTGGAAATGTCATTGCAAAACCTGGGAGCTGGGGAAGAAACAGAGACTTAGTAAGATTATTCAACGCATGTCTCTTTCCCCATTCCTCATAAACAGCTTGCTCAGTTAAACTTTTACTAGTTAAGTGCTTTTAGGGTTGATCAAGGGACTGAACTGAAGAAAGACTGTGTGTATATATGTATATGGACCACAACACAGTGAGCGGGACAAACAAGGTGTAACTTCTTCAGGAAGAAATGACATGACATATGTCTTCCTCTTGAAGTTATGTGATCAAAAGCTTTAAACAGGGCACAGTTATACTGGGAAAAGAATCTTTTGACTGTGGTTTTAGTTTGGAGAAGTGATTTAGATTAGACTAGTGAACAACACTATTGCTATGACCTTTTTCTATCAAGATATAGATTGTCATAGTGGATAAACTGGCAAATTCTTCAAGGCTTACACATGGCTGTAATCAGGTTGTCTATAATATCTGTGCATAAATCTTTTAACTGCTTTTATTGGAGTCAGCACAAGTCTAAACCCATAAACTGAGTGTGTATGAGTTCTAACTGAGTAAGTCTTCACAGGACAGTGACTAGACAGTTCAGTAGTATTTCAGAAGTTGCTGAGGGCAAAACCATACTAAATGAATGGGTTTTTTTCTGGTGAAAGGATTTTCTACAATGAATTCATTTGACTCATCTGGAAGGGAAAGCATTAGTGTCAGTGTTAAGTGTGTGCAGGAAAAGCATGTTCGCTTATGTGAGACAGTATGTGTCAGGTTGTATTGGGGGGCTGTTTTTTTGTTCTTCCTTTTTTTCCCCTGAACTCTATTGTTCTTAATGTAGCTAGATGGGAAGATGGCTTGCTTTTTATTTTGGTATAAAAGAGATTGTATGTGCTAATTCTAAGTCTAACGGGTCAACTATTTGCTTTACCACACCCTTCTGTGTTTTGGGGTTTTTTTTGTTGTTTGGTTTGGTTTTTTGTATTTGTGCTCAATTTCATCTGCATTTTCAAAAATTGAATGTATAACCATTTTTATGATACCAGTATGTTTTAAATATTTCTTGCTATTATTTTATATGCAGTTATTTGGTTCTATTTTTCATTATATCTACTCACAGGAGATGAGAATTGAGAAGAGATTTTATGGAAGATCCTGCCCTTCTTTTAGTTCTGATTCTGGTCTTTACAAAATTTAACTGATTATTAGCAGCGGGCTTAATAACCCTGGGGTTAATATGCAGTTCTATGAGTGATTGTTCTTATGCGTGTAAAGGCTTGTTTTTCCCAAGAGTGAGCAGTGGTCTGCTTTCATGGATAGTTCCTGAAAAATAGCCATTCATCCCCTTCTGATGATAGTTTCTGAAAGGATAAATCTGAATACACTCACTGATTTAATCTATGTGCTTTTCAGGTGTTTGAAGAAACTGGGTTTGACATAAAAGACTATATCTGCAAAGAAGAATACATTGAGCTGCGAATTAACGATCAGCTAGCACGGCTCTACATCATTCCAGGAGTTCCCAAGAACACAAAATTCAACCCCAAAACAAGAAGGGAAATTCGGGTATGTGTTCTCATGTTTGAATCTATAGGAACCTTATAGTGGAGCTCTATTTTTAAAGCTGATGGTCTGCAAAAGACTGAAACTACCAAGCATCATGATGTTGACCTCAAATAATGGGTACAAATGGCATCTTTGCATCTTGTCAACTTCTTGCAACATTACTACGAAGACTGATTCTTGACCTTCTGTCTGATGTTCCCACTCACTATGAAAATAATATTAGAGCATGCTGCCAAACTATAATTCTCCCCGTCCTTTCTCTTAGGTGGTGAATGTTAATCATTTAACGTTACTCCTAGTTATACCTGCACAAATACCTGCACATATAGGTATATATTCTTCTGAATATGTCATTATTAATTGGTCATATACAAAAGCTTTCATATCAGGAGGAGAAACTAAGAAATGTGTTCTGTCTTTTGTGGCTTTAGAGAATAGAGTATTTTAAGGAGATTGGGAAGGGGACACGAAAAGGGAACTATTTTGGATGGTTTGTATACCATTAGGCTTTTAAAAGGTATTTTGTAAAAGAGAAGCAAAGACTCAGGTAGGGAGCTTGTTGGAAACCTTGTTCCTAATATCTGTAATCTCTGAAGTTTGAATATCTTTACTGCATTTCATTTTAAACCAGCTATCCTTTACTTCTGTTTTTTTCTTTTATAACAAAACTTCAAACTTACTCTGCATATTAAATCCCCTTTTTTCTGATAATTTTTCAACTAATGTTGTTGGTCTAGTTTTGATGTCATTTAAAATGGCAAGAATTGTAGACTTTGAAAGTTATTAAAAGCCTCTACCTTTATTTATGGCAGTCTGTGTGCAGTGGTTTGGTTGGTTTTTGAAACCCTTACTCACAATTTAGCTGCTGGATAATACCTTTCATATGTTAGGTCCTATATCTGGGAATGAGTATGTGCTGTACCATCTTTTACACAATAGTTGCTGTCAGAAGAATAACTCCATTGTTAATTCATGTTTTGTGAAAAAACCTGTTGTGATCCATTTATTAAAGTCTTCCGCTGTAATTTTTTAATTAAGGAAATAGTTGTGGTTGATACACCTTTATAACATTCTGTAAGGTTACAGCAGTGGGTATTTTGATTTTAATTCTTGTTTTTCTAGAATATTGAGTGGTTTTCCATTGACAAATTACCATGCCACAGAAATGACATGACCCCGAAGTCCAAGCTTGGTTTGGCACCTAACAAATTTTTTATGGCAATTCCCTTCATCAGGTATGTTGGAGATGAGGCAAATGCTAGGCCAGTGCCTTTCAGACAACTTTAGATTTGCTTTACTGACAAACAAAATTTCTCCTTGCTCATAGGCCATTGAGGGAATGGATTTCCCAAAGGAATGGCGATTCCTCAGATAGTGACAATGGATTTTCATCTACAGGGAGCACACCCTCTAAGCCCAATTTGGAAAAAGCTAGGTAAGAACCAGGTCAGTTTAACACCTCTATATCCTTTCTCTAAAATATGGGCCATACAAAGGCATTTGTCCTTTCTCATTCTCCAACTATTTGTATTCCAGTAATAAAATGGTTTAATAAAAAAATAAAAATCGATTGTGATTGTATTTCATAGGACTGTAAATAGTATGAGAAGATAATTGATATCATGATACACTTCTTTTTATGTTTGGTAAATTCTCATATGTCAGAACTGAGATAACTTACTGAGTCCTGTCTATGGGAACCAAAACACAGAGGCTAGAACAAGTAGGTAGCTTCCAGTACTTTAAGTTCAACACTTTTGACACTTCCACAGAGGAAAAATAAGACTCACTGAAGTAGGACTGTAAAGTACTATCAGAAGTAGCTAGCTAGATAAAAACTGTGGGGGTCAGTTACTGGTTTCTAATTCAGCTGAGTTAAAAGTGGTGTAGCAAACCTTAAAATCTGTTGTCTGAAAGAGAAGGCTGTACTCCAGTAATTAGAGTCAGATCAGCACCCGTACTGACAACAACAGGACAAACGCCCATGTGAACTTAACCTGCTGCGTATGCAGAGCGTAAGCTTCCTACAGCAGACAAAACAAAATTCGGTGAATGCAGTGAGCATTAAAACAGTTTCCACACTAGGTTACTTAAGCTTGTCTTCCAGGTTATTCTCAAAACGCAGAAAATTATTCCATGTTTCTTTTTTTGCTATCAGTACGTTTGAAGTTGTGCTGTAAACTCTTTGTTTTCCTGTACTAGATCCAAACTTCGCTGTAGTCAGCAGATGTTTACAGATGGCTCTTCAGGAGAGCAGTGGGTGAAGCCAAAACAGCCCCAGAAGCCATATAATCAGCCTGAGATGTCTGAAGCTTTGAAGATAAAGGTAGATTGTTTTTTTTTCAGGCAAACCTGTTGCACTTGGGCTATTTAAAATGTATGTCTTCATTCATAAGGGTTCCTCTCTGGAATGAAAATACTGGATTTTATCACTATAGCATGCAAAAATAAAAACACAGAAGAAAATAAAAATCTTGGGGATTCTCAGATTTATCTGACTTTAGAGGTCATGGGATATCGGGTGGTAGTTGTGTTGTTTCAGATTTAGATGGTAATTACTACTCTTCATTTTGGTGTCCTCTATATGCACCATCTTGAAATATTTTGGGTACCACTAATATATATGCGTCAGTATACAGGAACTCAAAGAACTGAATTTATTGTGTACTACAGTGTCTGTAACAGTTCAAAAGAGAGTAGCAGCCGATGACTCCTTGTAACTTCAGTGAATGTTTAATTTCAGTGTGCTTCAGTTGGTCTACAAAAGATACTGTTCACATATTTTAAGGTTATTTGGAGGAAAATTTTAACTACTCAGTGGGAAGTGTCAGTGCACTGACGTTCAGTGCTCTCATTGAAACTCTTTGCTATATTTTGGACTTAATGGCAGAATCAGAGCTTGAGGAGCAATGGCAGAAAGCAGTATCAAGACACTTCCAGCCAAAAGAAGCGAACAAATGGAGTCCACAGTCAACCAGTTAAGCAAAACCATACCTTGGTAAGAAACACACAGTGATTAACAGGTTCTGGTGATGCTTAACAAATGTCCATGCCAATGTCATGCTGAAAGAGAATGCGTATCTATCAAAAGAATATTTGATCAGAATATTTGGTAGGTATTTGTAAAAATACGACATTTCTTACCTTGTACACACATGCGTCCGTAGACAAGCATACTAAACTTCAAAGTCTGCATTTAAACAGCTGAAAAGTTTTGGCTGTTTCAGTAGACAACACTGCAGCTTTCCAGGTTCCTGCCAGGTAATAGCCTACTGTGGTGTGTCATAGCAAGTCCGTGTAGTACATCTCACTTATTCGTGTACGATGTACTATTGTAAGCATGGAGTTTTGTTACGCAACAATCAGATACAAAGTGAGAACACATGTGCTTATTGTTGAATTTCCATCTAGCAAAAATGTTGAGGTGCAGACTTGACTTGGACACAAGAATCTCATAATTTTTTAATGTACAAATGCAGCAGTTTGTAAATTCCAGTATGACATTCTTGGTGCATTACATTTTCCTTGCCGTAGCTGTCTTTGTCTCCACAGTTTTGCTGGCTGGGAGAAGTCGCACTGAGATCTCTTTTTTTCTTTTTTTAATATAATATCTTCTTGACCCTCTCCTTCCCCTGTTCTTTATGGCTTTCTAGTTCTACTTTTTTGGCTTCTGTGCAGCAGCCTGCAGCTCAGCTGGCTTCTCCAGGCTTTACTTTTTCTTGTTTATCAGCTGTGTAAGCTAGATTCTTCCCATTCTGGCTTGTGATTATTACCTTCTCTCTGTTTTTCATGTAGAAATTCAGAAACCATAAACTCTTGTCCTAAAAAGTCCTCACTTTAGCAAAAAATGATTAGATGTGTTTGAGTCTGAGAGAAGAAGAACGAAAAGTCAAAGAATTGAGTGCCCAGAAATTTGGCTATATAGAAAAAACGGGGATCTGTAGGATCTTGATGGAAACAAGTGAACTGTTAATACTCCACAGTTATTCTGTAGGCTCTTTCCAGACTTCTGTGATGTTCCATTTTGTGTTTTCATTATTGTCAGTCCTTTGAAGTTTAAATATTTCATGTCCCAGTGATAATTTTCTAATACAGCTTGGAGGCCAAGAAACTCCTAATTCACACAGTGTACAAAGGGCCATACTTTTCTCTGTACTTGAGTACTTTCAGAACTGTACCTGGGGCTAAAACTTAACTCCTCTCTGGAGAGTTCTAAGTTTTTTGTCTCTAATGTGTGCTAGTTTAATTGGCAGTAGCAATGTGTTTGCAAATACATTCCCCTTGCTTTTTGGGACAAGATGATTGAAGAAGTGGCTTAACCACATGCAACTTTGATTCCACACTATCATATGCAAGACCTTTTCAGCTTAAAACATTTAAAAAGCAGTCAGAATTTTTCCTTTAAAAGCCTGCATTTTTAAGATGTTTTGTTGACTGTTAAAAGGTTGCATGCCTCTGAAAGACTTGTGGACTGGAAACCATGCTTACTAGAAAAAGTAACATGACAGAATTCATACTGGGTTATAAGTAAAACAATCACACATCAGAGAGTGTGTCAAACCAAATATAACCAACCTACCTTTTAGTTGATGCTTAAGCTATACCCTTAAGAAATACAATGCCATTTCTTTGTGAAGTGTATAATGTATGGTCATTCTCTTAACCAGAAATGTGAAAAAAAGCTTAATCCAAGAAGACTTCAAGATAACTTTGAAACAGGCAAGTGCAGTCTGAACTTTCATCCATTGTCATGTGTTACAGGTTGAAGGCAGCTGAATAATGATGGCTGAGGGTTTTTCCTTGCATGCTAACCTACCAAATATTATAAAGCCATGTTTTTGTAAAGGTAGTCTGAGTTGTTTGTTGGGTTTTTTTGTTTTGCTTTGTTTTGTTTTTAATTTGGCTAACTTCTTGTGCTGCTTCATGTTGATTTTACAGTTCTCTTTATTATGACTGCTAGATTATACCAGCTGGCTGAGTAAAATGTAGCTGAAAGCTTGTTTAGTAAAAATAACACGCAAGTCGACATAATGCTGGAAATTGAGTGTCAGTTCAAGGCTTTCTGTCTGGCTAGTAATAAGATGCAGCTGAAATTGGACTACTATGGAGAATGCACACAGTTTTTTACCTACTGCTCAGAAAATAGGTCCATATTTCTTTCCTCCTTATTAAGAAATGACTTGCAAAACAGCACCTGTGGGTAAAACTGGTACTGAAAGCGTCTCCAGATTGCTGTGACAGAAGATTTGTTCTAGCCACTAGATGACTTGTAAATATGGCTGTTTGAGTTACCTTCTTCTGTTTATGACCAGACATACATATTTAGTCATAAATACTAATTGAAAATACATTTGAGATACGCCTTTGTAATGTTATTGACACTCTTATTGATAACTACCTGTTTAAAACTTTTTTCATTATTTTTTTGCTTCCATCAGATGCAGCATATGAGATGTGTTGCTCCAGTGAAGACCCACTGCCAGAATCTGTAGAGGAACATTCTGTGGCATGCAATGGTCATTACAAATTTGCTTTCTCATCAAGAGCTTTCTTGAGTTTCAAGTTTGACCATGATGCCATAATGAAGAATTTTGACCTCTGACAGAAAACTTAAGAACAAAAATCAGACTTGCCTGTTGCAATTGAGGGGGTTTCTTATCCAGCCTTACTCTTTCTCAGGAGTTTTTTTGTTTGTTTGTTTTGTTTGTTTGTTTTTAAATGCAATGCAGGGACCGACTGGTGGTTTGGAAGGGTTTGTTCTCTTTGCAGTATGGGAGTGGCATAGTCAAGTGTTGCACTTTAAATGCAGTATAGCCTTTGTCCACAAAGTACCTTTCCAGTGTTCAGTTCACTTGTTCCTAGCTGTGCATTAGAGGGCATTCTTTTTCATTTTTTATGTTGTTCCTTTTTTAATCTTGGTATGTGTTTTTTAGAATGTCATTGACTTCTTTTTTTAACAGTTGGAGTATACCAGCTTGCTAAACTTTTAACTGCTCTGATGTAAATTATTGGACATGTAAGTCATTGTTGTGTAGTACATTGCAATATTATGACAGTGGCAATGAAACTGATTCTCAGCGGACTCCTCTGTCCTAGTGAGTTTGAAACCAAGTTGCACATTTCAAACATAGCCTCAGCCTATCATCCCTTCTCTGTCCTGGTTGCTTGCCCAAGATACCTTCCCTCCTCCACAGATAGTTTCTGTTGGCAGGCAATCAGTAGTACCTGGAGTCAAATCTAGAGCATGTTGACTTTTTGTACCTACTCTGCCTCTGTCTTCAGTAAGGATACGCAAACTGGGTAGCACTTAGCCGTTCAAGGCGTCTCCTTTCAGCTCTTATGCACTGTCCCCAGTTGGTTAAGAAGTTGCAAAGTTTTGCGTTATCCCAGTTGCAGCTGCCTTCAAAAAAGGAAAGCTTAAACTTTGTCTGTGAGAGGTTACTTGTTAGAATTTATGCGGAATGTAAATAAGCCTCTGTAGATCTCGCTGAGGAGGAAGGCAGATGCATGGATAATAGTCATTGTGTGACACTAAACGGCTTAATCAGGCTTGCAATAACTACTCTAAGGGTGTCCAGTATTGTACTCTGTGCTGTTGTCCTCAGATCTCGTGTAGCTCTGTATATATCCAGTAGTATTGAATTGCACTTGCAGTTAGCATTTAAATGATGTAGCCTCAGTTGTTTTCAGCTACAATGCTTCCTTAGTGAAAATATCAAAGATTTGGGAGGGGGAGGGAACAAAAAAAACCAGTAAGAGTTGAGGTGATAAACTGTTACATCACCTTCGTGACTCAAGTTAAGGGGTTTTGAACATGTGCTTTGCAGTTCAGAGAAATGCACTGAAATAATTTGTCACAGCAGCTTGTGGTAACAAGCATGTTGTCCCAGATTTAAAAGTGGACTTTTCTCTAAAATAAAGGTAATTGGTAATTTCATAGGCTGAATGAACTACACCCATCCTTGTCTCATCACAGTGTATGTTCATGCACTGAGTCTTTATGCAATGCATGTGTCATCCAAAACCAAAATCCTGGTCTTCCTTCAACCACCCTACTTCATCTACCCTACCTGATCTGTTACCTAGCGCTTTTCCTCCAAAATAGCTTTAGAACTGTCTCCTGGCTTATTTACCTGCCTGGCACCAGGTGATTTGGGACTCTAATGCTGTAATAATTTTGGTGATAGAAATGCTGGACTTAATTAATGTATTGGTCATCAGGAGTAACAGACTGCAGCATTTCCTCCTTTTGGAGGACAAGAGTCCTGAGGGCCTTGTCTTTCAAGACCAAATTGTGAAATAGCTCCATCTAGCTCTGTCTCACTTTGTTTTAAAAAAATAAAAAAATTAAAAAGTATCCAAAGGCCGTTCAGTAAGTGGCAAAGAACAGTAACTGAAAAGGTGGGATAATGCTGGAGGAGGTTATGTTATTCAGCTTCAGGTGAAAACTAAGTTTTAGTTAGTTATTTTAGTGCAAGTAGATGATTTCCCAGCAAAAGTGCCTTTACTCATGGTGAGGCAGAAGTTTGTATTAGTATCCTGAGGCTGCTACTGCCTGTGGAGTTAAGAAGACTCTCCTAAGGCATGATTAACTATCAGGCTGTGGAAATCTGTAATAACCAAGTTGACTTTTCAGAAAAATTAGTTATATTTCTTCTAGTGCTCTGTGAAATAAGGGGGATATTCATGAAATAGTGAACTTGGAACTTCTGTCAACTGTTTGGGAAATCATGTCCCAGACAGGCTTTCTCGGAATGAGGAATGAAGCAAGTGTGTCCTATGAGTAGGAGATGCTGGCTGTCCTCTGTATTCACTGGGTCATTTTTTTTTTCTTCTTAGTGGAAGGTTGGTTCAGTGTAAGAGAAACTGGTTGCTTTGTTAAGCAACCTAAAGTGGGGCTTTTACATATGTCATGATTTTAGTAAATCTAGCCTTAATGTGAGTTGCAAATAAATGTGATAAATATGCAATAACTAACTTCTTTGTATAAGGGTACTGTTTCTTGTAGTAGCATTGCTTTCTGCTTTCTCAGTAAGGCTTCTAAAACAATGTAAGTGTGGTGGCTATGATCTACCTTATGGGTTCCATCATGCCCTGCACTGTGAACATTTTGAATTGTTTACTGTCGTTTATGTTCTTATTTCACCATCCTTTTATAATTAAGTATATTTCCAAGTTTAGAAGTACAGTTTACATTATTTTCTGTAAAACAGTGAAGAAGTAACAAGTGAGATACAGAGTTTAGTTACATGAGTTTTTACTTTACAGCGGCTACACACGGAGAAACAAGTAACTCTTTGCATGTCAGACTGGGGAGCTGATGTCAGGATACTTGAAAAACAAACACTGCTCCATTTGAAAATGCTTGCCTGTAAGGGGTTGTTCAGTTTATGAATGACCATTCAATGTTCTTGAAATTAAAGGACTTGTGGAATAAACATATATTCAACAAAAAAAACCTACAAATGTGTGGGTGCTGGGAATCAAGTGCTAGTTTGCAGTGTCTCGTACTACAAAAACTCCCTGTTTTAGTGCAAGGTCTTCCCTTCACAGAATGCTTGAAAATTTGTTCTTGACTAAGAAGTGATCTGCCTAATTGAATGACTGAAATGCTGAAATGCGATTAACTTCAGCTCCTTGGTGTACATGCATGCTTTTGCAAGTAATTGTGTCTTACATAGTTTGAAGTCTGGAAACAGTGGTACTGGGAAGAAGAGGGTAAATAGCTTTATTTATTGCACAATCAAAATATTTTTTTAACACAATGTAAATTCTTCAGACCAAACTTCCATAAAGAGTTTCTAATAAAATTTTGGCCCTAGTCACTTTTCCAGGCTTCTGTGCTGTACTCCAACCTTCCTCATTTAATTTGGTGATTTGAGAACAGTATTTCATGTGTTTTCCCTTCACCTAACTGTGACTGTTATAAACGTAACAGTTTCTTCTAAAAACAAGGCAGGCATTGGGTCTGGCTATTCCTAACAGACTTGCTCTCAGATAAAAATTTTTTTTTTTTTCCAACTTTTACTTACTGTGGTAGAGTTGCTGTTGTTGATTTGCAGTTTATAGCGATGCTCATGTCATTCTGGTATGAAGAGCAAGAGTCTACATTAAGAATCCAAGCTCCAGTATCCTGTGGCACAAGATGGCTCTGCTGCTTGATGGGAGACTGCCTGTCCAGTTGTCGCATCAGTGAGCTGTTTCATTCTCTGTTTTTTTATAAATACTGAGCAACAGAGATTTTTTTTTTTTTTCACAGCCAAAGTCAGGTGCCTTCATCTTTTAAACCAAGAGGTTATATTCTAAATGTGTTTAGGAAGCTCAAAATTATTGAAAATTGGTTGAATAGAATCTCCTGTTGATTTTAAAATCAGTTTATTTACAGAAATTAAGTCTTGCACTGTAAATGTTAGATAATCTGGTGCTTATACATGACTTACTTAATAATTTCAGATTGTTATTACAGTATGTCAGCTTTTGGAGCCACCAAAATTATTTAAGATGTGGTAAATTTCTACAAACTAACTGAAGGTGCTTTTACAGTAAGTGAAGCTTGGAAATGTCACTACTCTTGCATAATAGGTTTTTGTTCTCATGCATTTATAGCAATAGTGTAGTTCAAGAATGAAAGTAGGCTAAATGCTAGTATTTGCACTGCTCTTAATCCTGTACATAAGTAGTGGTAGGTGCAGTAAGATTTACGCTATGTGTGCATTTTCCCATTTCAAGTAGATTGTGAACTTTCAAGGAAGACAGCGTATGTAGCAATTACATTGCCCATACTCAAGATCGTAGAAAAGGAAGTATTCTGGATTAGTAACAGTACATTAACATTAAACACTTGGGGTTTAACTTGTCTTTTTATTGAAAATGTTAGGTTAAGCTAGACTTAACTTACTGTAGATTCAGCTTTACACAAACCCTTATTTTTGAGTTGTTCTCAGCTCTGGGATACTGCTGGGAAGTAAGCAGAAGTGTCTTCAATTTCTTCTTCTATACTTGCAGGAAAAAAACCGAAAGCTTGTTTGTAAGAAATTCTCAAAATTTCACAGGGTGTGGAACATTTAAATTTGAATAGGTCCCCTAGGAAATTCACTGAAAACCCTGTTGAGTATTTTGTCACTGTTAGGCATTTATATTGTCGATCAGAAGAACTAGATTCTAGTTTTTATTATGGGTTACAGTTCAGTGCCTTTAAGGAAATGATTACAGCTCATGGAGCATTAATCATTTTAAAACAAGGCATATAAAT